GAAATAAAAATAAAATAAAAAGATTTATACAGAATTCATTTCTTAACACACTTTATTCATTTACAGGGTTGTAACATTTTCCCCCATAAAGAGTCGTAACAATAATATTAGGATCAATGCGACTTAGGAGGCTGTTACGGTTTAGAAATTGCCGTGATTCAGTTCTGTTGTTGTTCTTATTGGTGTGTGCGTGCGTGTGTGTGTGTGTGTGTGTGTGTGTGAGAGAGAGAGAGAGAGAGAGAGAGAGAGAGAGAGAGAGAGAGAGAGAGAGAGAGAGAGAGAGAGAGAGAGAGAGAGAGAGAGAGAGAGAGAGAGAGAGAGAGAGAGAGAGAGAAAGATCGCACCCGTTGTCTCTTTTTATTGGTCAGCTTGTATTAGAACCCTTTTGATCCTGAAGCTAGTATTGAAATTCGGCTGTTTTCCATTATGTTACGACTTCCCTCGTCCAAGCGCCTTCTTTTATCATGAATAAATGAAAATAAAAGAAATTTATAACATAAAATTTATTTAACGTCGGCATGATTTTAAAGAACAATTCGTGGTAAGCTCTAATGAGAAGTTAACAACATGAATTAAAACAAATGAGGCATTACAAACGTATGATTAGCAAGACATAATACATATATAGAGTTGGACAAAACACAATAACGCAAGAGACGTGAGCACGAAAAGCATTTTAAAAATCAGTGATTGAAAAGGATTTAGTATCTTGATACTGCAAAACATAATTTATGATTCTAAAAAGAAAATTTATTGGTTAAAATTGAAATTTAAAATAAATGCAGTGCACAAAATTAGGACTGAAAAGCAAGCTGCTATGCAGCGTACGCCTTGCTTGAAAAGAAATGAGCTAACAGTAATACTAACGACAAGGACTGATAATCAATAAACGCTAACACAAACGTTAGCTACGGTGGTAGGGTGAGGAAGGGCATTATTTACATATAATATATTTACATTATTTACCATTTCAGGATAGAATTAAAGATCGAAATTAATAAAAGTTCGATTGCTAACTAAATTGGTATGTTACCTTATCCCATAAAGTGATAGCTTCATATCTAAAAGTGTTTTTCCTAATGTTGAGGTTTTAATTCTTGGGACATTTAACTATTTTTGAATATATGAAATTATATTTCTTGTGCTAAAACATGTTAAATAGTTAGAACATTTGGAAGCATGCTAAGTTACTAGATCCATAACCACGAAGTCTGCGTACGTCTGGAATTTGCATTTTTGCCTTAAGAGTTTATGATAGCTACTGAACTCATCATACACTGAACTCATCATACACTGAACTCATCATACACTGAACTCATCATACACTGAACTCATCATACACAATTCTCAGAGGACACTGTTGTATTTTTTCAAGTTTAGTACTGTTTATGCTGCTGCAAAAAATCCTTGATAAGGGACAGAAACTGGAATTGGAGAGGATAAATATACATAAGATTGTTAGTTTGCTAAGTCTAGTTATCTTATGATTAATAAATTTCAAGACAGATGGTGGCCTTGAAGCTTTCTACAGAGATTTTTTTTTCCATGTGAACTGTAGTGCAATTGATAGTCAACGCCAATTCCAAGCTCGTCAGCGTTTAACACGTAGTCGGCAGGTGTTATTGGTCAGCAAAACGTTGATGCATATCACATCAGACCAATCGAATGTTCAATCGAACAAAGGGGGTTCTAAATAATTGACAGCAATTCCCATTACGTGTTTTCCATTCAGAGACTGATCACTATATAGAGCCTAAAGGACAATGAAATGATGTTACTGAATGCGAATGAAAATGTGTGAAAAGAACGAGTACAACAATGACGGGGTGGAATAAGATCTGTATTTATACAAATATGTATGTGTCTGATCGTGTGTGTGTTTTTCTTCTTACACACATGCTACGACTACTACTACTACTACTACTATTACTACTACTACTACTACTACTACTACTACTACTATTACTAGTACACACACATACACACACTCGATAGTTTTCAGCAAAGGAAAACCAAAGTTAATTTCAGCAAATAATATTTTGCCAGACCACTCGGTGACTAGATTAATTTTTCAGCTGTCGCAATTATACTGATCGAGGTGGGGGTGGGAGGCATAAACTTCGGCCAGTGTATTTATCAATCTACCGCAGCTAGTGATATTACCATGTATCAAAACTGATGAATAGTACTTTAACCTGACATGCGCAATAGAGGGCAGAATTATAATGAAACTGACAGTGCAGAGAAACTAATATTTTCCCATTTAAATCCAACGACAGACGACAGACGCGAATGGAATGGTTGTTTTGTATAAAATAGGACGGTAAGGTTCTTTATAAATGGAAATATTGCTTTATTTATAAAAGGGTTAAATTGTAAGGTTTATAGATATCAATATTAGTTTTATATAGAAGTGATTTATATGATCTGCATTCTGTAAAACTAGTAAAATAAGGTAGTTCTGCTTTTAAAATAGTAGGGTAGAGTTGGTGTATTATCAAAGGAGATAACAATGGGCCTTATAGATGGGGTCTTAATATTGTATTATTATTTAATAAGTGGGATGATAGATTGGTATAGGGGTTAGGGACGTTTGTCTTATTTATAAGGGATAGATGACTGGTAGGTGGATTGTATATAGCTATTAATTGGTTGTTACTGGTAGTATATAACGGAAAACTTGATAGAAGATAACTGGGTTTTGAAATTAAATCGCCGGGTGAATAGTAAGTCACGGGGTGCTAGATAGTAAATAGCTAGGTGTTGATGATAGATAATTGGTTGGTGAATAGTATATTATATTACTGACTATTGGCATTGGACAATTAGGTGGTACATAGTAAATACTAGAGTAGTGATATGAAAAGGTTATGATAATGGTAGTTCATTTGTGTGCTGACAGCAGAAAACTGAGTATTTGGTAGTAGACAAATAAGCTTTGATAGGGGACCACTGGGATTTGGATAGTAATTAACAAGTTGGTGGATAGTAGATAAATGGGAGCTGATAGTAGATAATTGGTTTGTGAATAGTAGAAGACTCAGTGTTGATAGAGTTACGTGTCTAGACTCGTACAAAGTGGCAAAGAAAAGAGTGAAGCCAACAAACTTTATAAAATTTAAAAAAATAATTTATTTCCCTCAAAAAAGGTACAAATATGAAAAAGGCATGGTTTGTGAATCTAATCCATAAATTAAACCAAGAATTTAAAAATATAAGTCCTATCTAAATGAATCAAAGTATGAATCACGATGAAGTTCCAATATGGAATGCGATGACGTCTTCTATATCCTGTATATATTTTGTACTGTTGTGTCAAGTGTTCCTTGTTGAAATTTATGAATGATGAATAATATTCCGGCTTTAGAATTCCTAATAATTCCAAACAATTATGTTTGTCCAAGAATTTTTATGAAGAGCACTTGTATGTTTTCCAGATAAATTAATTCCTAATTCCAAAAACTAGAAAAACTTAACTCAAACTCGTCACAACACAAAATACCTTTGAAGGTATTAATTTACGACCGAATTAAATCACTCTAAAATGCTAGTTTTAAACGTAATTTTAGATCAAGTGATGGGTCACGTGGTCACTTAGTTCGAATGACACAGTAAGACTACAGACCGATTGACACGTACGCTATGGACTAATTTGATTCTACCTAACGAATCTTGCTGTAAGATTCAATAATAATAAAAAAAAAGTTGTTTACAACAGAGCTGACACGCAAGCCAAATATGACCTTGATTACGACGAATGATTTTCACTTTAGGATATGAATAAAAGAAGTTTACTAATTCTGAATCAATGTCAGGAACTAGGTCAGCTAAAAGTACAATGTAGCAAAAGCAAGACAGAATTGAACTGAACTGGAAAAATGTCAAATCCAGTGAATAAAGTTATCATTACAATAACATGCAATGAAATAAAAATAAAAGCATTTTTAAAGCTCACACACAAGTATTTAAATTACATATAAGAAACAATAGTAAATAATTGTTGGATGATAGTGAATCGCTTGCAGGTGGATAATAGATAACTTTCTTCTGGATAGTAGATTACTGGGTTCTGCAAAGTAGATACTTGGTTGTTGAATAGTAGATAACTGTATTGTAAGTAGTTAATCGTTTAATAGATAGTAGATCCATGGGTTTTGCATAGTAGATAACGGCATGGTGCATAGCAAATCGCTGGATTTTGGATAGCAGTTAATCTGGATGATGGATAGCAGAAAATTGGTGCTAATAGAAGATATTTGAAGATAATTGGTTGTTGGGTTGTAGAAGACTGCTTAGTTGAGAACTGATCAGAGGGTGTTGACAGTAGATAATGGTTAGTGGATAGTACATAATGCAGTGATTGCAATTAGATAACTAGGTGGTGATATTAGATGATTAAGTACTGATATTTACATATTATGACAACCACAAAAATAAAGGAGTATTGGTGATCATGGAGATATTATAGAATGATGTAGATATTTGAGCATTATAAGTGGATTCATCAAGTGATAAGGAGAGCTAAACAAATTTTTTTGTTACGAAACAAAACATAATAAGTAATTTAATTTAGAGTGCCGAGAAACTCCCATTTCCCCGCTTGACAAACTCTAACCCGTTATATTTCTGTCCAATAAGGAATTGACATGTTTCAAACAGACATACTCTCTGTGAAACATATGTCAAAAGATAAGAGTTATACACTCCACTGCCATTCTCTGCTTCGAAGACTCAATGTGTAAATTATTATCCTAGACCAATCTGCCAGTCAGATCAATGTATCAGGTAATATACTAGGCCAGCCAGCCAGCCAGTCAGATTACTCTGTCGAGTATTACCTTAGACCATGAGCTAATAGTCTGATCACTCTGTCAAGTAATATCATATACCATGAAATAGTCCGATCACTTTGTTGAATATTAACATAGACCAATCAGCAGCTCAGATCACTATGTCAAGTATTACCCTAGATCAATCAGCTTGTCCGATCGATGTGTGCCACTCCAGTGGCCTAAGTGGTTAGATCGTTTGCCTCGAATGCAGATGGTCGTGGGTTCGAATACCGTCCGAGTCATACCAAAAACTTATAAAAATGATAATAGCAGCTGCCTCGCTTGGAGCTCAGTATTACGAGGTTAGCGTTAGGACTGGTCGGCCTGGTGTCAGGATAACGTGACAGTGTTGGACATCATGCACCATGTCTGCGGCATGGTACCCAGCTGCTAGACATCACTTTAAACTGCCACATTGGAGACTTTGTAGCAATATGACTAAAAATATTGTTAAAGTTGCGTTAAAAATCGAAATCACACAAACACAGAGAGACACAAACACAATGATCGCTGTGTTGTGTATTAAAATAGACCAATCAGCCAATCAAACCAATGTGTGAAGTATTACATTATACTAATCAGATCGCTGTGTACCTACCCGGTGGCTTAAGTGTTTACAGTCACTATGGATTTCTCTGATAGTAATGAATGACTATGGAAGATAATAAAGAATGTTACAAATGTGCAAAAGACAAAGCAGAAAGTGTCATATCCTGATCCTGCAGATGCATGATAGCGTGATATGAGATTATATGGAAAAATAGTATCATATTATAAATTATTGAAATTTTAATTCGTCTCCCTACTGAAAATTCAAACCCAGGTCATCTAGTTTCAGCAGCCATCGCATGACGAGTAGTTACTTTTCAAGTAATTTGTATAAATCGGTTTTCAAATTTTAATATTTTTCCAACTGTCTGGATCTGTTTATCATGAAATAAAGTTCTCTCCATCATTTTTCAAAACTCAACATTTTGAAATAAAACTAAAAACAACAACTCCAGATTGCACGTTTGGATTGTGTGCATATTAAGACCACACTCGCTAATGTCATGTTTATCGTATTTTTCATTCAAATTAGTAGGTATTGTCTGGTTACACAGCATTCAGTTAAATTTCTTCCTAATAATTGTATACTAATAAGTCGATCAATAACAGTTTCATTTGGTTATCATTGATTGAAGAGCGATTTTCACTGAGCTTAACGCAGACTCCGCCTATCAAGGCGTATCCTAACAACGTAAAACTCGTATAGAGAGATGCATCCAATACTTTTAAAAGGATACATCAGTGAAAGCAGAGGTTGTTTGATTGACTATATCCATTTAATTGGGACAAATGGAAGGTAAATGAACTTTTATTTATTTTTAAGGACAAATTTATTCAGTTCTGCGAATGTTTCTGTTGAGTCAAATCGATTTATCTTGAAGAGAATTTTTAACGAATTTAAAGTAGATAAAAGAAGGAAGTTCACGAGTGAAGTCGAAACTTTGCTTTAAGCAAAGTATACGAGATATTTCATTTTCAAGAGTGAACTTTTTCCTTATATGTACTAAAGAAGATTCGCTGATGTTATTTCTGGTTTTTATTTTTAAGGCGAAAAGAGCCCATTTGCATGGAATTTTTCTCTCTTTTTTATATCAGTGAAACGAACTGCTGCACCACTGCATCGATAGAAATAAGTCAAATTTTGTACAATAATTTTTTGGACAGCACCATTTTACAAAATTTAGCTTGTAAATATAATGTTTTAATTTGTGGATCGTGTCAAATTATCGATTGGTTTCATATCGAAATGAAGAGATTACATCATTAACACATTTCAAGAGATGATTGATACAGCGAGCACTGATGGGTTGGAGTATTGCAGAAACAAGACAAACACTTAAGAAAGTAACATCGATAAACAAAATATTGTGTGATAGGAAATTTACATGTAAAGAGTTTGTTGTTTCTTTGTTTTGTTTACTTATGTATTCCAACACGTGACATTGGCAATCTTGTAGTCTGGCTCACCAATCTACAAAAATCTTTGCCAGAAGTCTCAATCGTTTTCAAACATGATCATGACTGTGTTGAGCCTTAAAATCGAAACTTTGCAATTTTATTAATATTTTCATAATATGTGCACCGTTTGTCGTAAGGTGACCCAAAATACCGATTAGCAAAAAGTATGTATGTATGTATGTATGTATGTATGTATGTATGTATGTATGTATGTATGTATGTATGTATGTATGTATGTATGTATGTATGTATGTATGTATGTATGTATGTATGTATGTATGTCAGCATGCATGCATGCATTCATATCTCTCTCTCTCTCTCTCTCTCTCTCTCTCTCTCTCTCTCTCTCTCTCTCTCTCTCTCTCTCTCTCTCTCTCTCTCTCTCTACAGACAGGAAATATGTATTGGATAAATTAAAAATACCCAAAATTATTCAAAGTGATAAATCAAAATATATTTGTATTACCACCCACAATGAAATATAAACCTATAATCGTATCCATACTTAACTGAAAGAAAAAAAATCAGCTCATATACGGATGCATACTTGATATATGATTGAAATTATTTAACTCTTATTGCACATTTTCCCTGAAATTAAAATTGAACGTCAAAAGGGCTCTAATCTTCTGACCATAATGATGTAGAACAAGGCAAGGATGAGGCAGGAGGACTGTATCACCGTTCATTTTCGCATTTACCAATATTACAGACGCTACTAATTCATTGTTTAGTCAAATTTCCATCATTTTTATGACATTCGAGCTATGTAGATTGGTTTTAAAATATGAACGAAACCGTTTATTTCAAGAAAAATACAGCAATAGCAAGTATAATGGTTAGCGCGGGAGTGCTTGGAAAAACTTGAATAAGAAACGTACCCGTACTTTTCAAATCATTTCTTATGAATTACTAATTTGCTGTTTCACGTGATATCAACACACGAAGGTTATTTAGTGCAGAGGCAATGGGAGGAAAATATTCTTCCATGGATACATAACGGTATTTCATCTGGGCACCTGCTACCTTCTGGGTGAGAGTCCGGTAGTCTAATCATTGAGTCAAAACTAGTCTCTGTTATTAACGAAACATATAGAATCATTTCAAGTTGTTCAGGTCATTTAGACTTATCTCGTCATCAAAAGTGTTACATGGACGCTTTAAATTTACATTGGACTCTTTAAATCGTCAACAGTGTTACACTGGCTACATTATTCAAGTCATTTATACTTATTAAATCATCAACGTGTTACACGAGACTCTAAGTCATCAACGGTGTTACATCTTACTCCTTAAGTCATCAACATTCTTACATTGGACACACTGATCAGGTCATTTGTACTTATTTTGTCATTTGATCCTCTAAATCATCAAAATTGTTACACGGTACTCTTTAAGTCATCAACGGTGTTACATCGCACTCTTTAAGTCATCAACATTCTTACATTGAACGATTTCAGTCATCAACAGTGTTACGATGGACGATTAAAGTCATTGATATTATTACAATGGAGATATTAATCAAATGATTTAAACTTTTCATGTTATCAATAGTGTTGCATTGAATGCTTTAGTAAAAAAAAATTTGTTTCACCCTGAGTACAAATGTATTTGTTTTACAAACATCAACAACAATCACAATCACAATAATAATAATAATAATAATAATAATAATAATAATAATAATAATAATAATAATAATAATAATAATAATAATAATAATAAAATAATAATTTTTATAATAATAATAATAATAATAATAATAATAATAATAATAATAATAATAATAATAATAATAATTGATCAGAGGTAAGAAAGTGATGTCAAGAAGATAATGCAGACCATAAAATAGTTTTTATTTGTCCTAAATGTTTAATCTACTTTCTTAATCGTTAAAATTGAATAAAAAACTTCAAACATTTTCCAAAATATTTCCTTACCAAGAAAGTAACATGTGTAAATATTAAAAAAAAAACAAACTCCAAACCACATGAACAAAGTCACTCAAAAATATTTATCTCCAAAATTGTATTTTAAAGGTAACAGAACACAATCACCACTGAAGTATGAGTTTTCGGCTAAAATATCAAATGACACCTATAAGAAAATATAAAGCAGTTAAAATCAAATTTTCTTGTCTGTGTAAAAATTATTTCAAAAGCAGGTAGGCAGTATAAAATGAACTGAGCTTCAGTGTTCGAAGTGTTTTCAAAATATCGTTAATAATTCTACCTTAAATGTCTCAATTAAATATCAGCCCTAAATTATTGGTAATTAAAGTATTATTTCTACAGCATACAGTTAACATCGACCCCACATGGTTATTTTCGTTTCATTCCTTTCCGATTTCACTTCACCTAAAACAATATTCGTTAAAACTAGGAAATAACCTAGCATTTAATATGCTAATTATTCTATTTGCATTCTAAAAATTGCAGAGACGACATCAATGTTTAAAACATTTCTTTCCTCTGGGAAGACATTGTTAATTGATTTACGAAATGGCTTGTGTTTGATCTCACTATTGGGAACATCTGCATGACAGTAATATATTGTGTGCCTCTGAATCGAAAACACGAAGTGGAGGGAGGTGTGGTGGAGGCACAAGTTACAATTAATTTTGTAATACCTAGCCAAATTTTAAAAAAAAAGTAGTGAATGGGGGTGACTGAGGAACAATGGGACTGCCATGCTAAAAGTAATGCGAATAGGGAATGTACAGCGACAATGGGTTGGTTCCGTCTAAGGACAATATGAATTGAATGTGAGTGACGTCAGGGTACTGGACACTGGGGAAACTATAGTAACAATGTTACAAGAACTGACCTCAGTCGGGACAAATAGGAACATAGATATAAAGACGTGATTAAAGACAGGGTTAGAGACATAGACATATACATATATAAACAAGCAAATACATAAATATGACACAGAGAGAATAGATATCTTTTCGATGCAATGGAGTGGCCCTGAAAAGGGCTGTTTAACTTTCTTCTAATTTCAGTCTTCCCTTCTTCTTTTTCACCATCTTCTCATCATCATCATCATCATCATCATCATCATCATCATCATCATCATCATCATCATCTTCTTCTTCTTCTTCTTCTTCTTCTTCTTCTTCTTCTTCTTCTTCTTCTTCTTCTTCTTCTTCTTCTTCTTCTTCTTCTTCTCCTCATTTTGTTTTCATTTTTCATTCTCCTCTTCTTTAAGAACCTTAGCGTTGTAAGCTCTCAT